GAAGACAAAAATGAATTAAAGACAATTATAGAATAAATCACTGAAATGATATTTCTACGTGAAAAACTAATTGAATAAGGTACAAAGTGTTATGACGACATAATTGACAAATGAAACATGATACTTAGTTAGCTAAATAGTTAAGTTACTAACAAAATAGAATTCCGAACCTTGGTTTAGTGGGTTTACAAAAATAATGTCACTAGTCTAATGACTGAGTATATAATATGAGATAACCAGCCACTATTTTGTAATCATCAGTTGCTCATTAGTTAATAACAAAATTATTTGTGAATAAAAAGAAACGTTTAAAAGTTATAGATTGAACTTTCGTCTATTGTCCTTATAGGAAAACATGATATGAATACAGTTATAACTTTGATAAAATAAATTTCTTAGTGTAAGTTAAACCCCTGTTAATTACTTTCTCTTCTACGACAAAGATCATATCAAATAATAGCCTGGCAAAGATAAGGTAAAACGAAAACAATGTTGTAAATCGGAAATATTGAAAGTTTAAAGGTCTCTACCTCATGTAATGATAGTATTATTGTTAACAGCCACAGAACATTGTGGTGTTCATGTTAGTTGCTAATTTATTTATTTGTTATTATGTGCCTAGTTCGAATTTCAAAACACAGTAAATTCAACTGTGCACACAGTTAAATTGAACAGTTCTTGAAATTCCTAGTCGATATATTGATCCGAATACTTCTGATGATCACACATAGTCAAAAAAAACTATCAACTTTCAATATGATTGAAAATATCTTCAGAAAAAAACAAACTTAAGTATCAGTGAAGATGAATTCTAAAAACTATTTTGGTCATTACGATTACAATAAATTGAGTAGTTATATACAATTAATCAACAAAATAAAGTAGCTAATCGTTTGTATCAACGAATGCCCTGGTACAGCCGAGAGTGGGGAGTATCCGCTCTCCCTCTCCAAATTCTCTCATGTGGCCACACATATATAGCCTCTGTCAGGGAGGTCCTACTCACTGCCTTCTCGTGGCATTACTTTTGTTTACGAAACTGAGAGGGTGAAAAGCGAGTGTTCGGCGCATTAAACGGGTTGGTGGACACCATGAGTCTACTTATGGGAGTTGGAAAACCCTGATTCCAAACCAATGGTGAACATGGGCTCCAGTATCCTGATGGAACAAATGGCGTATGAGTCAATTGTTGGTCACCGGCTACCATGGGACTGCATCTCCTTACAACTCTCCACTACCTTGTGGATCAGACCTTTAGGTCAAATGCTCCGGATGTGGTCCCCTAAAAACACCACCTGCTTCAGTTTGGGCACCCGGGTAGTATTACAGCCCTCACACACATCAAATAAGATTTGTGTGGCGCATATGTATTTGGTGCCCGTTTGTACCAATATTTATATGTTCAAATAAATAAATAAATAAAACGAAAATACATTAGACATAATTTGTAAGTATCAATGCTAAGGTTGAACTTTCAAATAAATTGAGCATTCGGTAAATTATTTACTTTGAAGAAGTACCTTATATGAAGTCACGAAACATGAGAAATACAATGTTTTACTCATTAAGATATGACAAAAAGACAATATTTAACATTTACAATTAGGCATGTATTTTTATATTTAGCTAACAATAAATTTTATAGGTCATAAAACTTGATCAGACATAATTAGGATTTCTATGATTTTCTTGATCATACTATTGTCACGTTGAAAGTTATACTCAATTACTATGTAATTTGAAAGAATTTAAAGTTAAAAGTTACATTTGTCTGTAATAAACAATAATAAAACTTTGATTATAAGGAACAAATAGAAAAACTAAACATTGAAAATGAATAGTATTTATTACTGGAACTTTCTACTGATCTCATGGAACTTCATAGATATATAGAAAACATTTTGGTTGACAACTTGAACCATTGTACAGAAAAATAGCGTTAGAGCGCGAGACCGATAGATCCTGGGTTCCAATCTCACGAGGCAGGATCGTCAATGCACACTACTGAGGAGTCCAGCAGTAGGACGAAATGACTATCCAATGCTTCCAGGTAATCAAGTATTTTAAAATATTCATAAAAACATTTTGGTTAGTTGAGTAATTTGAGAGGATTAAGTAAATTTGACAGTAATTTTTTGTCATGAACTGGTATCAAATAATCAATAATTGAAAACTATATATCACTCTGTCCTGGAACTTTCTTTCTAGTTCTATTCAATTGTTGTTCATTCCTCTCACGTCCGTCACCATTTCTCGGCGTAATATCTTCGTTGGTCTTCTTCTTCTCTTTTTCCCTTCAGGATTCCATGTAAGGGTTCGCCTTGTGACGCTATCGAATTGAACTAATCCTCTCAAAGTACTTAACTAACCAAAATATTTTTATATATCTATGAATATCCATGAGATCTGCAGAAAGTTTCAGTAATAAATACCGTTGGAGGCCGGTTCAGTAATCTAGTGGTTAAGCGCTCGCGTGCGAGAATGATAGGTCCTGGGTTCGAATCTTGCGAGTCAGGATTGTGGATGAGCACTGCTGAGGAGTCCCACAATAGAACGAAAAGGCCGTCCAGTGCTTCCAGCTTTTCCTTGGTAGTCTAACTTCAATTGGTTCATGATTTCAAATATGAAAATTTAGGATTGTCAAACCAAATAGAATAAAACTTTTAATATCAATGTGACTCATATAGAATGTTAACACTGGAATCTGTATATATGTTCAGTGAAAATGTTAAGATCTGTGATTAGAATATAAATATGGGTCAGATAGGGTGATACAGATATGATAGTGCAATTACAATTCGATCAAGTGGAAAGCTAAATTATGTGAAAAATTACTAAGACGTAATAAGGATTGGTTTATACTGGCACTATGTACTAAATGGGCCAATATCGAGCTGTTTACTTTCTTTATAAAATCTTTGCTTAGTAACACTGTGAGGTGCTTGTGAGCACGAAAATGTAAATTCCTAGAACTTCAAGAAATATATAACTTGTTGTTTAAAATAAAAATACTCAAGGAAAAAATTACATTTAATATTATTTATTTTCACACTTAAAAAATGTTTAAAAAACGTACGACTGTGCTTGAGTAGGCAGTTTTACAAGCCAAGACTGGATTCTAATAAAATCCTTGTGTTTATAAGGAATAGGCAATTAAATGGATTATATTTCTATCATTCATTTTAAGAAATTTAGCAATGATATAATTTTCTTAAGCATATGGTGTTTTATGAGCATAAACATACTCAAACATATATATGGAAAAGGAAATAGATTGTTTTATTTATATTGTTTTATCGGGGACTGGGTTTATTCATAAAAATTGAAATTCTAATGATTCTTTGGATACATACTATGTTGTGTGCTACTGATGTCGACCGATATAAGTAGTATGTATTATCAATGGAAAGTGAAATGCCTGACAGTACAAGGTTAAGAAGATTGTTCAAAAGAGAACAAGGACAAAGAATGATTGATGTGGAAATGAAAAAACAATGAAGTCTCAGACAATTGATTGACATTTTTCAAATAAAGTATTTATTGTATGGGTCTCAGATTTCACAAAGAGATTCTTTAATTGCGTATTAAAATATGTATGGTTGTTCTAACATGTATTCTCGTTTACTACAACACTAGTCACCTTTAATAACTTTTTAATGGTGATAAATAGTATGTGACTAAAAGGTTTACCTTTCAAAATATTGTAAAAAAAAATATTTGTATATGAATCCACATTAAAATAGAAAAATTTCAACATGCAAATCTATTTCGAAAATAAAACTTTCTAATTTGACATGATGAGAAATAATTATCCATAGAAGAAAGCAATTTCTTTGTATTTCAGAAGGGGTTTTTGTGAATGTTTCAACATTTTCATAGTTGAAATCATGAGTCAATTGAAGCTAGACTATCATGGAAAATCTAGAAGCACTGGACGGCCGTTTCGTCCTATTATGGGACTCCTCACCAGTGCTCATCCACGATCCCGCACCCGCGAGATTCGAACCCAGGACCTACCAGCGTCGCGCCAGAGCACTCAACCGATAGACCACTGAGCTGACCGGCATCCAACAGTGTTATTTTCTAACTTCAACTGATCCACGAATTTGAGCGACCGTTCACTAATTATCTTCAGTGAGTTGATATCTCTACAACAGAATTGGTTGAACTCCACTGGTCACTGCTTCCCACAAGAACTCAAGGAAACATTCCTTATAGTCAGTCACTAGTTATGTACTCTTCGTATTTATCAAATTTTCAATACTAATAAAATATAAAAGTCTGTTTCAATTGCATTTCGATAATTGCTGCAACTAATCATGGAAACATCAGAAAGATTAAGTGTAAATTACACATTCAAAGGTTATGATTATTATTATTGTTATATTGAGCAACATTATTACACCTATAGATTATATTGTGGTATGGTCTACTTATATCCATATAAGTAGTATATGGTGATAGTCAGACATAGAATGTATTTTGACAGAAGATTGATAAAGAAAGAATAGAAATGAAGCTCAATCTGTATGAAAATGCATGAACAATGAAATCCGAGAAGATGAACTAATATTTACAGAAGAAACAGTTAAGATTGATTTAACCGGTTGTTATTTTGTAAATTAACTGTTTACTGTATGGTTATAACAATTTAGTTAGATAGTTTGTAATTTGTGCTTAGATACATTCGATTGTTCCCAATTGTGTGTTTGTTCACTACAATACCAAATAATCTAATGTACTTTCATAGTTGAAAGCGTCAGTCGATTGGAGCTAGATCACCATTGAAAACCTGGATCCACTGGACGGCCGTTTCGTCCTATTATGGGACTCCTCAGGTTTTCCATGGTGGTCTAGCTTCAATTGACTAACGCTTTCAAATATGAAAATACTAAATATTCACAAAACCCCCTTCTGATAATCTAATGTACATCTTTTTTTACTTTTTGGAATTGAAATTCTTAATAAATCATTAAATAATGTAATAAATATATACTTACTTTAGAATTATTAAGTGATTTATTCGCTGGTGTATTTGATTCTGGTGAATCACTAACACTAGCAGTATCTGTAGATGAAGAAGAGTATCGTTTTGATTCAACCATTTTGTTTTCTTCTTTTTTTTATTGTTTTAAATTTAATTTCTTTTCAGCTAAAAGGTAAAATGTTACAAAGTTTAATCAAGATATTTAAAAATGAAACCATTTTTTGATGCTGTTATATCTAGAGCTTTGATTCTCACTATGCCACGTACTACTATACTACTTAAACGATAGAACCCGCAACGTCACAAGAGAGAAAACAGAAGACTAGTAAGTAGGAATTTTATTGCCCAAAACAGTGTCAAAATATAGTACAGAAATCTCATGTATTTATGGTTCTTGACTGAGAGTAAATCATCATTTCAGACAACCAATAGGCACATAAGGGTCATTCATATCCATCCAAAGGGGAAGCTACACGTCAACATTCTAGAATATTCCCTTAGCAGTGATTGGATGGAATGTCTGCGGCTCTTTCTGGGCTTCTTAAGGCTTCCTGGAGTCTACCAACGAGCCGTCCTTACAGATGTAATAATCCGTACTCAAGTGTTTGATATACAGTAATGAAGTATTTTATACCCAAATCATTAACAAAAATGTAATCTAAGTGTAAACTTCTTTTATCCATTAGACCGAACCATGAATATTGGAATAATGATAATTTATTAAAATAACACAGAAACACTTTACTCATTAAAAATGGACTTTCCAAATGAAAGTACTTTCAAAATTTCAGAAAATGATATGAATATATATACTATGGTGTGGTCTACTTATATTCTCATAAGTAGTATATATTGATGGTCAGACGTAGAATGTATTTGAGCAGAAGACAGATAAGGAAAGGACTGAAATGAAGCGCAATCGGTAGAAAAATGCATAAACAATAAAATTAGCAAAGATGGATTGATATTTACATAAGAAACAGTCAATATTAAGACAATGGATTGTTATTTTGCAAATTAACTGTTTACTGTATGGTTATAAGAATTTGGTAAGATAGTTTGTAATTTGTGCTTAGATACATTCGATTGTCGGCACCCGTGTTCTTGTTCACTACAATACATGTGACGAATGAGTCTATAACTTATAAAATTGAAAATCATACCAATGTGCAAACATTTCGAAAATCCCTTTTAATAAATTAATTACCAACACTTGAACGCAATTCTAATGACTTTGATGACACCTATGTTCTTCGTCGATTAATATACAATTTAAGAATCTGAATGAAAACGTTTTCATATTCGATTTGAAACTTTATTGTCTGGAATATGTTGTTTTTTTTCTACAGATTTATCATGTTAATCTTTGGTTTTTAAATAAGTTTGGTAGAACTTATAAAAAAGAACTTCCAACAAATGTGATCGCTCTATGTAATAGAAATAATATTAAGTCTGTTGACTTGAGTGATTTTTACCTGACATTAATGTAAATTGATAACCCTAATCCTTGTTTTAACTTGGTGTAGTTGAACATTAATTAATACTGAGTCCAGGATGTGAATTTTGGATTATTTGATCTATATTGAGCTATATTTACGTGGATTCCACTGTCAATGTTCACACACAGTTTGCTTCTAATACATTTTGTGTTATCCAATGAGTTACGGAGTCCAATCATCCGTAAGATTATGTAAATGGTAGTGATCTTATTTTTAGGAGTTTATGTCTTCATATTGCTGATATTAATGACTCCATGTTTTCACCACCAACGTCTATCTATGTTTATTGTAAATTATTGCTAGTCGTCAATATCAAAGTAATCTACTTAGGACTGAACAGCCACTTTCCTTAATATCAACAAAGTGAAAATACAAAAGATAAATTTCATTGCGTTCATCATTTTTAACCTAAGATATCTCCACTACGCCTCTCAATTGACCTGGTCAAGGAAAGAAGATTAAAGAACAAAATTGTAAAATCTGGATACGAATGTAGTATCTACAGTATCTAGCTGTGACTAGTGAATAGTAAAGTAAGATATAAAAAATCTACTTATCATCTAATGTTTTGCTTAGATCCACGTTGGAACTTAGTATTCATGAACCGAGCACAGACTGAAGCTTTGTGTTCACGGTATTTATGGAAACTTAAACACCTCTAATTATGCAAAATATTTGTTATGATTTAAAAGCTCTTATTAAGAAATAAAAATAATTTATGAGGAAGCACATATTTTCTATCGGGCACCTACTCTTTTAGTCAGCCATTTCACAGATATTGACTGCATGGAAACAGTCAACGAACAGTAAAACATTGTATTTAAACATTTATAATCAGTGGTATCATAAATGTACTTTTGCGTTTTGTTGCTATAAATTAATAATGAAACCCACTAAAATTAATTTTATCATATTGAAGACCAAATAAAGGAATACCTTCATTACTAACAAAAACCTATGTCATTAAACTGTTACCTTTAAAACTACTTTACTGTCATTCTATTTAGAAAAATACGAACGGCTTTGAGGTATTATATGATTAACAGTGAATTCTGTCGATATCTATCCAAATGGTTTCATCCGAAAGCAGAAAACGTTGTTGAACTGCTATTATTATCCACCAAGAGGGCTAATTCTTATCTGATAATTAAAATCGTAGAATTATCTTATAGATAAAACCCCAGTAAGGATATTTAATTATCGGCGAAATCGTCGGACCTTGTGTCTGAAATCACTATTCATTAGGCTTTTGCTTACGCACTTTTAACACAAATTACATCGACAATATCTCCGTGTTATATAATAAATAAATTCTAATCATTTAAATACAATGTCCAACAACTTATAATATTTTAATAAAAATCTGCAAAATTTTATATACACTTTTGTATAGCTACCAACCAGGTGACTAAAAAAAATATAAGCCTAACGAAGATTTTTATTTTTGTATACAAAATCAGTTTATTGTTGTGGGTAGTTACCTGTAATATAATCCTCCTGTTGACATTTAATTCTCTATATGACAAACACAATTTAGTCCCCCTTAAGTTTGTCCGAATAGCAAACATTTACAACTTAATAGTCAGTTTATAAATAGGTACATATTGTATAACACTGTTGAATTGTAAGATACGTATGGATATTGCTCTTATCAAATTTCTAATGTATGTTTTTTTTGAGAATTCTATATGGAAACACATTTTTGAAGTGAAATTTAGTTACAGACTTTTAAATTTTAAGAATAACTTACATAAATTTTTGTCTCTTGAAATGGGTTTCTTAATGTTTCTTATGCTTGTAGTTCTGCCTTTAATACTTCGTATTAGAAATCGTAAATAAGATTTCAGGACTAAACTATGATTGTGGTTGGTATCAAAATAGATATAACTCTGTTATAGATTTAATATAGTAAAACGCTGTAGTAGCATACACACTTTGTATACTGAAGTTTAGACTTAGCATGATGCATTCAGCCGATGAACATGTGTCTCAGGCTCTACTTTGGCAATGACTATTTGAGTTCATAAATAATAGATTAGGCAAGATTACTAGTATATACTCCCAATAATGTAATACCTCTCAGGAAAAAGATTCATAAGCCTAATAAATGACTGATGCACGAATAATTTCTCATCATTAAAGCATATACTGCGTCTCACAGCCTTTAGTCATAAAACATTTATCTGATTGCATCATAAAATACTAGATACTCAGCAATAGGAATGAATTAGCCTATAATCAGTAGCCTTCATTTGATTCTCATCTTTATACTCAGTAAAAACGGAGTTACTAAATCGGAACTTTTGGGAACCACTTTGTTGTTTAACACATAGCTGATTGTTGTTCATGAACCAAGATGAAAATTCGGTTACAGTAATGTTTGAAAACTTAGGTCATTTTTCTAAACAGGACATACTGCGTTTCACAAAGTATACGTGTCTGCCAAAAATATTTAATAGGCATATAAACTTGTAAATTATTCACCAACTTACTAGCAATGCTTACAGTGAGATGCTCAGACTGAAACATGACTGACTAAATTCCCTAAACATGCAAATGATAATACAAAGATAGTTCTGTTTATTAAGTAACGGTTTTATGTTTCAAGAAGTGATATTCTGTTATCGTTTTTTCCTTATTCAGTTAGATATTCTACGGATTCACATTCACTTAGTTTCAAGACTGATGGATATTTTTTAGATAGCATTAATGAGGAACTGAATGTATTACAGGAGCTTACAGAATCACCACTTTAATAGATGCTAAGTGAACAGAATTGATTACGCATCCACAAGTCATCAATGACTGAAAAGGTTTAGACCGTAAATCTATCTTATTTAGTTACAGCGAGAGCATCATACTTGTCATATTTGAGCGATAATTTTATGGTCTGATTGTATTCACCTCTCAAAGTGAAATTCTAATTAGTCCTAGATTTGAAAGTAGAGAGAAAACAAAGAATCATTTTGATTAAGAATTAGAGAAAACTTCCTAAAAATAAGCTTCGGTTAAAGCGCAATGGTGATGAAACGTTTTGGTTAACGTACCAAATTTCCACGTTTCTCAATTTTTTATTTTCATTATAAAATCAGGAACGTGGAAGAAATGAGAACGAAAACAAAGCTTAAAATATGTGTTAGTAACAGGTAACTTTCAAAAGCGAATGCCTGATTAATTTTTTAAGAGGCGAATAATCATTTAGATATGCAACAATAATCTAAAGAAACAAAAATGACAACGATGTGAGCAAACATTATCATGGACCTACTTTGTGAATTTTACTATTACTACAAGACACATTAAGTGACCATAAACAACTTTGGAGTTTTCAGAATATTTTTACTGGCTTGCTTTGGCTAAAATGTTAATTACTTAAAACAAGATGGTACTGTAAAACTGAAATCCCTTTCGTAAACAACGAGGTTACTCATAGAACATCATAACAATACTATCCTTCTACAAGAATAATTAAGTTTACCGAGGACACTATATAATCAAAGAAATCAGGTGTTTATAAAAAGGCATTCAAAACTATTTAGCATTGTTTCGCCGTTAATCCACCATGTTTGCTAGAATACACCGTGATTTTAAAAGTTTCTATCATATGTATGGCCTGTAAACTACATATTTTGGGTTCTACATACATCAAAAATCTCTCTCTAAAGGTCTAAACGTACCCATAACCATAATTTATGACATATGTCTGACAAGTCCTCGATATATTTGAAAAAAAGTGTTTAGGATCTTCACAGATTTTTAATATCTCGACATAGATTTAGATATGTGATTTGAAAGTTGTTGTTATTTAAAGATATTTTGCCCCTTAGTCACCTGTAAACGACTCACGTTTATTTATATATGGTGAGTGAAATACAAAGCGGCTATTTTTGAAAATTCGAGGACAAACTGTAAGTACATACTCTAGCAATCGATATTCATGTTTCACAGGATATTATTTCAACATTATTCGAATTAATTTCACTCAAATACAGAAAACACTTGGTAGAGCAATAAGTGACAAATACAAAAACACTTGTATGTTTTATCTCTTTGGTTGATGAACGTTTGTTTGAAAAGTAAACATTTCGAGTAATTGCCAAACATGTACGCTCGACTGATGGGTTCCGGACTTCATATACTTAAATAACTACCTATGTTTCAGATAGTCACTAAGAGCATCCCATTTTCAATATCACCATCGTAAAATCTAACAAATTAATTTTTTTACCCAATATTTAATTTTATTTGGCGAACTATAACTGTTGGTATCTTTGTGATAAGAAAAAATGCAAGCAAACAAGAAAAGGGGCAATGACCACCCTATATAAGCATAATGTTATGTAACTTTTATCTGTGTTTGTATAACTCTACACAAAATGTTAGGTTAGACTTCAGCCTGCAAACTTTGAAAATGAAGAGATTAAAAGGCTTTTTGTGCCCAAAAAAGGTAGATCCAAGAACTCATTTCATCTATCAAACGAAATTTATTTAAATCCATAACAATACTGATTGCAGTAAACACAACACATTTGAAAATTTAAACTGCTCTAAGTGAAAATCAATACTTCTTTACTCTAATCAGTCAAATATAACATCAGTAACCATTACAAAAATCCAACCTGCACACAGGCTGACACAACGGTTTATTCAACATAATACCTACGTGAAACTTGTAACAGACACATATTATTCAGCTTAGACAATGACTGAAGTTATTTTCATTTCTATGACTCGAATATGAAACTATAATTCTGGAGATCTGGGTAATTCATAAACAAACTTGAAACAATGAAAATTTTTAAGTATGTGGATAGAGTCAATTTTTTGAACTCACTCTAAAATGACAACATACGTAAAGTTTATTTAAGACTGAAAGTTTAGAGCAAATTTGAACAGAACCAACTTACACAGAATCACATACATAAACACATTTTGAGCGGCTTTAAATAAAGAAGTAGATACTTGTGATATACAAAAACAAACACCTGCGGGAATCAATCCTCAATATACTAGCTCGTCAGAGAAAGTTAAATCACAAAAATTCAATCTTGAGATGTATTGCTGTCATAAAATAATCTTCTTAAATTATTATTTCTATATTTTGACATAGGTAACTCGATAACATGTTACTAGTATAGGCGAACATTGAACCAAAGGAAATCGCCGGATATATTGATATTATTGATATTGATATTATTCAATAAAACTACAATCTGTTTTCTATTTTTCCAATGCTTTTAAACATTGTGACCCCAACGAAGCAGGCCAGTTAAATAGATTACATTATTCTGAAATGGATGAATTAAAATATTGAATGGTATAGAATGTAGTAAAAATCACGAATCGGTAATATTTCTTATTGTGCTTTACTGTGTAAACTTCATAAAAAATAGCGTTGCGTCGCTTGAGGTAAATATCAAAGCATGAAAGGAGATTGAAAGATAACTATGTGATCTATATATTATGCAAGTTCCATACACTTTGGTGCAAAATGTATGAATAAGAACATTATGAAGAACAATTTGTTCGCGAATTCAGCATCTGGTCAGGTTAAATAATTACGTTTTAAAGTTTCTAAAGGTGATTACACATAAAAACTCCGTCGTAAGCTATCTGATTTCCAAATATCCTTCGGCAGATGACAAAAACAAGGTTTGCAATAGAAATGTAACTATGAAAAAAAACAAACTATTCATCCCGTAAAGCGATGCGATCTCAATTCGTAACCAGCCAGAGATTTAGATTGTTGGACGAACCATTGCGATATTGTTATATCCTGCCTCTGTCAAGAAGCGTCTTATCATGTTTTCTTACCCTTGAGAAAAAATACGAAAATAATAACTAATGACAGTAAAATGATCGATCCATCGTGAGTGTCTCTAGTTTCTTAATCAGTAGTAACCTACTGTCGTGACAAAAACGCGATTGGTATAATGAAAAAACTTATTATAATAACCAGTCGTACCAGTGATTATTTTGCTATACTTGTTACTTTAAGTTCACCAAAGACACATTTTCTGTTGCTTTTTACCTTTCACGCTTACGCTCCGTAGTTCCGCTTTCAAACTTTGGCACTTGTCGGTATTCTTTCGATACCACGAGATCGCCAGCAAATAAACCTTATTTCAACCGTCAACAGCCTTCTTGTTTTCGACCTACGGAGGGATCAAACTCGATATCTGCAGCATATTCGTCCTGTAGTGGTGATCATAGTCATTTGTGGCTGGGAGCCATCTACACATCCTTTTTGAAGATGAGGGAAACAAAAATTTAGGTTCATAGGGAAATACGCTTATGTTTATGCAAGGGAACAAATCAAGGTAAATGAATTGATATATTTGTGTTTATAAGCCGTAAGAAATCCGAAAAAATTGCTTTTTTGGATTCCTCAAAAATTCATTGAATGTGAACATGCAGAAAAATCAATATTTTCTGTCCACTAGTTTTAGATAAAATCAAATTCAGAATGCAAAAAAGTTGATATCAGACACGTCAAAAATGAAGACGCATATGCTAAAAAAAAATTGCTTTTCATTCTTTATTCTTTCTAACGCTCTCGGAACCTTACACTTTTACCAGAACTCATCGTTTGGGAGTGAATATCAAGAGCTAGTGAAGTTTCATTGTGATTGTTGATATTGAGGTTTGTTTCTTAGCCGAGAGGACTATGTTTTTTGACAGATTAGTTGTAAAGTCAACACAGATAAAGTTTCTATTGGAGTAAGCCGCTTTTAGTAGTTCGATGCTTATGTTAACTTTGGTTCTTTTCTTATCAGTTGTGAAGTACCAAAAGTCTCGATAAAAGAACGTTATAGTGTTCCGCATATGCAGCTTGGGTGGGTTGGATTAATAAGTTGTTGCGTACAAAAACATTTATACTAAACTGTAAGGCAGGTTAGATGAGTTCAACAGTCGCTCGCAAACAAGTGATAAAGTGTTTACCTAAACTCACTGAATTTGCGAGCCTACTAGTGTGACAACAACTAGTGTAACACATTCATTAGAAAAGATGAAGGGTTCATGAATATAAACTTAAGTTGGAGCTTTGAGCTCTAACTGTCCTGCTGCGTGGCGTTTCACGCTAGATCATTTCAAAATCTATAATATAACTGGATTTGATTTTGGCAAGTCACAATTTTTCTGGAGGTTAGTGCACTTTTAAGAATGGAGGTGAAACGGAGCTGTAGTATTACTTTACATATGGAAATTGTATAGTTCTGGATTCATGTCGAGTATCAGTTAGAAGTACGAATCGATCATATGTTCGGGCGGGATGAGGCATAACGTATGACCAGAACAGGACAGTCAGCATACACATAGCGAAATGTTACCTAAAGTTAGCCTCCATAAGCACAAATGGAAAAGCAAGATCCAGCTATACTACCCAGAGAATGAAAAACACAATCACACTTGAAAGAGAAGCGTTGGAGGCGATGGAAGGATTTTCGTACCTCATCCGCACCATCAATGAACAAAGAGGATCTATTGCACACGTTAAGGCAAGGTTTGGTAAACTAAGGACTGCATATGGTACTGGAAACAAATGTCAGCTAACATCTAAGTCAAAATTTTCAAAACAAACGTCAATCAGTTCTACTGTACTAAGCTGGAACTTGGAGAAATACTGTAACCACCATCGTAAAAGTACAAGCATTTATAAACAAGTTTCTACACAATGAACTCAATGTCCACCAACCTGATACCACTATCAACAGACTACAGTGGGAGAGAACGAACCAGCTTCCAGATGAAGAGGAAACTAGGAAAAGACGTTGGAGTTGCGTTGAATATGCATTGCAGGAGACATCAAACTGTATCACTGGGCGAGCGCTAACTTGGAGCACGAAAGCGAAAGGGAAACGGGAAAGAACAAGGGACACTTTGCGTTGGGAATCGGGAGCGGACATGAAAAGGATAAATATTGATATGATGGAGAAGATTTGTGGCTCAGGTGGGTGATTTTGATGTTGGTTTGTTCTGTGACCTGGATAGTTTGGTCGTGGAGCTTTCATCGTCCTTCTGAACAACATCACCAGCACGAACTTCGGGTAGAAGTGAAGTGTTTGAATTTCTCCACATATGATCCACAGCTTGTCCTCTGCACCCCGATGTTGATTGGTTCTTACTGACCTTAAATCTGTCATTGTTTATTTCTTTGTTTTGGTTGTATCTCCAATTGGTTTGATTTTTTTTCCTATGTTCCTGCATAATTTTCTTGATTGGTTGATAGATTGGATTGATTTCAATATGTTTGTTTATTGCTTATTGACCTGAGTGCCAAGCTTCTAAAATATCTCTGGTATTTTTTGAATCGCCTCTGTCTAAAGTCTGCACATTTTCCCACTCGAATGTATGTCCGTAGTTGTCCACGTGCAATGATATGAGTGAAGACATGTCATGGCGTTTGATTGCTAATTGGTGTTCATGTAGGCGAAGATGCAGGGGGCGTCCGCTTTGTCCAATATAGTGTTTGTTGCAGTTGGTACAATTTATCTTGTAGATGATGTTTGTTTTGTCGTCTTTTGCCAATTCATCTTTCGGTTTGCATAAGAGTGAGTGGAGGGACTTTTTTAGTTTGTGGGCTACACCTATTCCGAAGGTTTTCAGCAGCCATGTTGTTGTTTCCGATATGCTCTTTATGTATGGTAGGGTGATCCTCTTGTTGATTTTTATACCTGATTTCGTTTCTGATGGTGTGTGCAACTGGTATTTTTTGATGAAGTTGATTGGATAGCCGTTCTATCTAGCCAGCTACAACCAAAACAAAAAACAAACAATGACAGATTTAAGGTCAATAAGAACCAATCAACATAGGGGTGCAGAGGACAAGTTGTGAATCACATTTGGAGAAATTCAAACACTTCACTTCTACCCGAAGTTTGTGCTGATGATGTTGTTCAGAAGGACGATGAAAGCTTCACGACCAAACAATCCAGCTCACAGAACAAACCAACATAAAAAGGACAAATATTAACTGGAAAACTTGAAGGGGTTACTCAGGACAGAGTTCGATGGGGAGTGCTTGTGGGCAGTCTATGCTCCTCAATGAAAGTTAACAGGTGTAATTAAGTTCCGTTAGCCTCCATATGCTTAGGTTGACCAGTGGATGGAATTGCATCAGACCTATACTAATGATTGAATGATACGTCTGCAAAGAAAATACAGCGAATGATCGTCTGCCCCCTAATGAAGAGTAAAAAAGCAAGTGAGATTATCGCATTACGCCGTATGAGGCTATTAATTGACATGATAAAACCGATTCTGGAAGGTTGTGTTGACCATCGGAATCAGATAGTCAGTTAAATCCAGCTCATCGGCGGCAACTGTTCAGGAAGTTTGGGTAAAATGAGTTGCCTTTAAATACAAAAGCAAAAGTTAATTGACCATTGTCGCCTCTCACAAACAACAATAGTTTTAATACCGAGCCCTATTACAATTCAGTAGCGTGATAAAGCTGGTCTTACTTTTGTCGATCCCCACTTTTGACGGCTGCTTTTCCAAATAGTTCTATGGCTTAGAATCATCACTCATAAACATACTATCGATTTTTTGAGGTAGTGCCTTTACTACAACGAGGGACCACACACGTTGATCGGTTATGCCGCATTCGTGAAACCTAGTTGCTGCATGGTAGAACAATGCTTCTATAGTAAAAGGCCAGAATGGCAATGTAAGTTGGATTTTACATCAACAATTTAGGTATTATGTATATCATGTATGTTATGTATATTATATATATGACGTGATATTATTCAGAGTTTTTCGCATTTATATATTTTATTCTCACAGTTTATCGTCAAGAATATCAGAAAATAGTATATCCACCACCAACTATTAATTTTGGAGGTTTATTTGCCGCTACTTACCACTTAATAGAATTTATTTGTTTAGACTAAGGATTATATGTCATGTTCTAATATAAGCCTGAACATCAAGGG